CGAAAACTCAATCATTTTCTGAGAAAACTATAACAAAATTTCAAGTTTTATTTTCAATATTTTCGAACGGATAGTGCTAATTGCAGTCTTTAATACGACGTAAAGTTTTTTAATTACACAAATGTAATTTTTCGAAAAATCTCTCACGCCGTTAATATTCACATATACAGCAATTTGTAAACACTATTTTTATTTGTGAGTAAAGGTTCTTCAATGAAGTTTAATGAAGTGACTGAAATATTTTCTGTGAAAAAAAAGCTTCAAATTTTGAATTTACAGTAGCGCTAGACACCATTTGCTTGAAAACGGCTCCAAATTTTCCAATGGAAACTTCCACATAGGACTAGGTGATACTGTTCTTTAATGTTTTTAAAAATATTATTTCCGTTCTACAATTAGGAAACCGAAAAAATAAGGAAATGTCAAAAAATGTACTTTGGGCGGTGGTAGATGGCAGCTGGCATGCGTACGTGGGAAGTCAGAATTGCTAGTTGAGACCAAAGAAAATTGAAAACTAATACGGGAAAGTCTGTGCCATTCCGTAGGACCATTAGTTCTATATATTTACTTCAAATGCTTAAATAAAGGCGGAAAAATTAACTTTGTTGAACACTCTGAATTTTCGAATATTGCATAAATTAGAAATAATGGGAGAGGCTACAAGCTTTTTAAGCGTCGACAGAAATGAACATGACCGAGCAACTGCGTGTGGTACCGGTAGCTCACATCGAGAGTTAACTGGATGGGTTCGAATGTAAGCGGAGACATTTTTTTGCGGGATGGAAACACGTTTGCAAATTCATGTGATAGTACAATATTGTGTAGTCGTTACCAATATTGCGAGATCATATAAGCTGTTGTAGTACTAGAAGATACTGCGTCAATTTTGATTTTTTAAATTAAAACATATAGTAAATTTGGTTTTGTCCAAAAAGGACAGAAAACAAATTTAACTCACGATTTGCGCATTACTTCATATTTAATCAAATAGATTTTTTTTAAATAGTTGGGCGTCTGAACCCAGAATTTCATTGATGTCACTCTTCTTTTCCACTGTGGAATAAGTGTTTTGGAAAAATCCAGTTGGAGTTAATGTTGCTCAAAATGAAGTCAGCATTCCGAGAACTAATTGGAAAGAGTGAGTGAGGAAAGAAGTTCGTTGCAACGTCAAGGCAAAGCCTTCGTCAAAAAAAACCTGGAAACTTTACACGTTGGTCGTAAGTTATCATGGAAGAAACCATTCAGAATTATAACTTCAACCTAAAGGTAGTGGCGCTAAAGCAGCACGTACTTCCTCGTACTTTCACGCAAAATTACGCTAAAAGAACTCAAATTTTCGAAACATTGCACATTATTTCAAAATCTATCTGTAGGGAACAGATTTCTTTAAGGGAAAAAATCTCTAACTTTAATATTTTCTTTGTAGAAAGACTCTGAACAAATTTAGAACTGTTGTAATTTTCGAAAAATCAGAGTTTTCAACGAACATTAAACCTGCGCCTTGCTCTTAAACGCCCTTCTTACTCTCCAACAAAACATTTCAAGTGCGATGGAGCCTTTTTTAATTTGGAAAATGTCACAGAGGCTTCATGTTAAGTTCCCCCCACTATTAAGTTTTGGGTTTCAAACTCCAGGGACAGCAACATCAGCCAGATAGATTGATGAATATCAATTTTGGAGAAAATAGATGAATTGTTTAGCCATTAGCGTAGTTCACAGACGGACAGATCAACTGAATTCCGGCAGGACCGGCACACACGTTTCGCCGTCGGTTCGGTATCAATTACACACAAAATATGGATTCTGACTACACCACATGATAAACGATTTTTTCCCTAAAATTAGCAAGTCGATTTATCCACTATTTCGTTATCAGGGCCCTGTAATAAGAGATTTTCAGCCGAAAATTCGCCGTTTTTTGCGCGCACATTACATTGTGTGGGAAATCAAGAAATTAAGAGAATTCTTAAAAGGGCGTGTGTTTGGCAGCCCATTGTCACTATTTTTCTCATTCGCAACTTTTCTAAGGGAGGCATCGTTATCAAAACAAATTTTCTAATTTTCTCTCGAATATTGTGCTGACTAGAGGAAAGAGTTGACAGATAATTAGATCGCGTTAATATAATATTATATAATATAATATAATATAATATAATATAATATAATATAATATAATATAATATAATGGAAAAGTAGAGTATTTGATATGTTTGCCCCTGATTGCTAGGCAACCCCAATGCAAAGCTGTTCAGCAGATACATGAAATGTCCTGCATCAGAACGTGATCTGCCAAACACCTGTAAACGATAAATATCCTAAAAGTCAATTGACAGCATTACATGTGCATCTCCGTTATGAGACATTTCCATCTACGAATTTATTGAGAAAAGTGATCATTTTCTCTTATTGCGGCCATGCATTTACCAAACATGTGATCCCAAAATTTCTACCTCCACCTTACTAAATCTGCACAACCTATCTTCTTATTCAACCTACATTTGTTAGCTTTTAAATAATTCCTTAGTCTATCCCAGCTACAGATATCCTACCCCCAACACCTCATTTCTTTCTAAAATAATCAGGAAATATAATATTATTAATATTATTATAATATATAAAATAATTGGTTAATTATATATATCATTAATCAATAATTTTATATACATCATTAGAACTATTCTCTCTAGACTTACTCGTGCCTTCATGCTGCTGAATATCCCTATCATCAGCTACCAACCTAGTTATTTCAGGTCCTCCTTTCTCAACATTCTTACCGCTTTCCAAGCCAACCATCTCCCTTTATAAAAAGTTTCCCTCTCCAGTACCCAAACTGTCTTGTATATTCTATTTCCTTTCATGGTCTCTCAGCACGCTCTCCTAGCTAACACATTCTCACCCATTCATCAATTTCTCATCATACTTCTTTGATATTTACCCCACCTCTATTTACTCCTCATCTTTCTCCTGTCCATTTCCTTCCTTAACAAATTGAAATGTTTGGTATGAAGACGGAAAAATCCTTGAATCTCGAGATAGTGATGGCAAAGATTTAATATAAAAAAACGATTATTTATTCATTGGTTTAAATAGTATTATCGATTAATTCATATATAATATATGCTACAATTAGTCGATTCTATTGGATGAAAACGAGAAAAATCGATTAATTTTAAAATATTATCATACAATGAACTACATTCATTATTTTTTTTGAATACATTGTTTTCAGTAATTTAACATTATGATGAAGAACTTGTAGAAACAATGTATGCATAAATATCTCGGTCTCCTCAACTGATAGTTACACTCGCACACAAAAGTATTTCCATCTTAAACCTGAACGACGCGACCGAACAAAACAACAGCATTAATCCCCTCACCTAATGAAAAACCGTAATAGAGGTGAGACGAAATGAGGCTTTTGACAGCCGAGGTATCTGTCCTAGCCGGTTCTGTTGACCGCACCTACAGCCCGAGGCAGCGCCCCTCAAACAATAGAAGCTCAAGTACAATCCCCCCCCCCC